GCAACACTCAGCGTAGCATGAGTGATCCAAAGGCTCGAAAGTCTGAGACCCAGGATGAGATCATCGAGAAATTGGCATTCATCTCAAATTTCATCAGACGCGTGATCAAGAAGACCTTCGGAGCGAGCCGATATAGTTACTACCAGAAACCAGATGACGAAAGTGCCGCTCCATACAAATTCATCGACATTAGTCCCGCCATCAAATCGGAGAGGAAGAATGTCACGAAGGAGATCCTCGTTGCATGCCGCTACTATGGCATAGAGGTATCCGATGTCCAGGAAAGGAAATTGAAGTCCTTCGAGGAGCAGATCCGAAGGGGAAACCCAAGGAACGTTGAGCTCATCAAGGACTACATTGGCTTTGTCGGCGCTGACTACATGCGACAAATCACGAATGGTTGAGCATTGGGGTCATACCGACATGCCACTTCCGGTACTTCAAGTACTGAGGGGTCTTGGGTAATTCATGATGACCGTTTTGGCATCATGGGAGTGAGAGAGGATTGTGTTTCACACCGTTGGTAATCGCATGATACCATAGGTAGGTGCACGTTTTCCGCTTGTAGCTCCATTGCCTGTTTGATCCAACTTTCAAGCGAATGCAAGATCTCTTGCTAATTCAATTCAATAGGACATACTGGTTGACCTCCAATACACTTTTGAGAACGTGATTCGTTCTCCGGTTTTTACATCCACTCATCTCCCTTCCCCGTCGAAGTACGGATGTGGGGGGTGTCAATAGGGATGGGGTCCCAGTATAGTCGCTATACAGGTACATGCCATATACTTTTGGCCCAAGTGCCCAACCAGGTAAAAAGGAGCTTTAGCGCGCGAGCTTCATGTTGACCTAAGAGCTAGAACGGGGCCAGGGCACACCTTTCCATCCGTTCACAATATATATATATATACATGTTGTTGTTGATGGTGGTAATGATGCCACGGCTGATGATGACGGTCTGTATTTCCATCCTCTGAGTTCGTTTTGGATAAAGGAGGGTGGGATGTGTAAATGCCACTTGTCCCAGATCGCTTCCGTCTTTATTTCTGGCTTTGTAGCCTTGTTGGTTCTGAGAACAGATTCACTTTCACCAAGCAAATGTGGGACACCACGAACACTGAGCTTGCGTGCCTGCGCAGTTCTTGTCTTATTATTCGTTCTCCTGCGAGTTGTTGGATGATGCGTTAGTGTGGGTGGGCAACCTGATCTCACTTAATTCCAGGAACACTGAAAATGGTAAGAAGTGCTTAGGATGGAAAGATGAAAACAATCGAGTCCCTGGAAGACTCGTACGAAGCCCTTCACCTCCTTTTAATCAAACATTGCGCTGGTCCGTTCGATGAGGACACACATTCCAAAACGCTTTAGGTCGCTGGCAGCCAGGCAGCGCCGTAAAGATCGTAAATTAATTAAGTAAAGTCAGTATCCTGTTATTTATAACTCCCGCCAATAGAAACGACTGGACTAAAACATTTTGTACTGAGAGCCCTTGCGTTCAAATTCAATAGCCATGTGAATATCGGAAAACGTAGTTTTCTGGACCCCCTGCTGGGGGGTCAGGATGTGATTTTATAGGGACAACGCGTTGATTGCAGACACTGCTGTGAAACTGTGGCGTTCGTGCAATTCCATCTTTGGATCAAACAATCCCTATTTTCACCTCTACCTCCAACATCCTCCAGTTAGCCCCCAGGATGGAAGGCTTCCCCCTTTTAAAATGGCCCCCTCGAGTCCTATTTTCATGTCTAGCCCTAGCATCTCCTAGCCAGCCCCATGATGGAAGGCTTTCATGAATGATTTCACCCTGCCCAGAACAGCCTGGAACCTAGCATAGTCGGACCCCTCGAGTTTATAGATGCTTTCCTCCCCAATAAAATGATTAGGTGTGATCCTCCCCTAGCATTCCCAGCTAGCCCAATGGTGGAAGGCTTTCCCATGCGACGCATTGTTGAGGGCGATGTGTTTGCAAAAATATAATTGCCTGGCGTGCTTGGCTGTGATATTTCAAGATGGCGTGGGAAGATGAGGTGGATAGGGAAAGAATTCCTGACAGCTATATAGATCTATTTAATATATGTATGTTTTTGGTGGCCTACAAGGTGATACAGGATGTATTTCTGAGTTCAGTTCAGAGGTCAGGTCTTGTGATGTTATTATAGTTATAATCTATAGTTATATTACGAAAGCCAGCCGATAGGCTAGGCTTGAGCCTTTAGAGCGAACGAAGTGAGTTAAGGGGGTGTGGGGGGGCAGGGTGCTGAGAGGGACATTTTGAGAGGGTGAACCCGGAGCTTGGTGAGGGAGAGCGCTCCAAAGCGAGGGTCAGAAAAGCAGTAAAAATGGGGTCTGAGTGATGCAATGGACGCCGAGTAGTGCATCATTAGCATCCTGAAGGGCTTTGGAGGCTATTTGGACAATGGGCACTGAGCACTCGAGTGGAGACGGGCACGCATGTACAGATGTACAGAGCAGACCGCAGGCGCGCGTAGGAGACGCATTCCCAGGACAACCCCCCTAGTCTCTACTATACTTGCACCGTTTCCTCGGTCGAGCGGATGCTTCTCGCGGCGTCCACGTGCACCGAACGTTTTTCCGGCCTGCCGGTGCAGATAGAAAGATAGATTTATATATATATAAATAGATAGAGACATAGAGAGAGAGAGAGAGAGAAAAGAAGACAAATAAATTTCAATTTCGATATACTACTGACTCATGACGTCGCCTCTTTGCTGGCAGCCCCCGCCGAATCCAGTCAGCCTGGGTCCACGGCCCGAAGATCTATACACGCAGGTGCCAAAGTCAAGGCCTCTGAGTGAGAAAGGCGCAGAGTTGATAAGAAAGAGAAGAATAAAGAATGTGCATCGTTTAATAAAGGCCCCTTTAACGGGAAAAAGATTGCGGCTTGGATCGAGCCAGAACATGACTCACTCAAGTCCAGGCATGTGCATCGATAGGCGCACAAATCCTCACTCCTTTGCTAGCCCAAGCTACTCCCGCTGGACCTCCCCTTCTGCGCCGCGGGATCAAGTGTCCGTGTCCCGGCTAAGACGTGCCCGTTCACTCTTCCAAATCAAAAAGTGCCGCTTTTCGACGCGCCGCAGTGTGCATTGCAAACTTCAAGCACTCCAAATGTAACAAACACATAGATGCTTCTTTTGCAGTATATTCTTTTCAATCGCATGCCGTAATCGCGGCGACGCTGACTGTGGAGAAGGTCTTCCTGCGGCGCGCGCGCGCGCGCGCACGTGGTATCCCACCACTCGAACTCAGACGGTATTCCCCCTTCGCTAACGCTGATGTCGCTTTCCAACGTCCATAAGATGCATACCTTCCTTCATGTGACACACATGCCATTGCCTTGTGATGATGACCTAAACCTACATACAACGTCTCGCATTTCTCTTCCACTACTTCTCTCATACCAAACTTATCCCAAAGCCCCCGCATCCGCGGCACCGCTGACTCGCAAGCTGCCAACCATGTGTCTTGTGCCGCGACCCCCGCCAGAAAAAGAGACGCTCGTTTGGCGGCTGCTGGCTTTTGTCCCCCCTTCTCAGGTAGATGTTAGCATCCATTCTCAGGCCTAGTCTACCGCTTTATATCCTTGAGTCACTTTGTAGCTGTAAAATGGCTGGCTAGACCCCCCGTGCTGTAGCCTCGTAGCTACAAGTCCTGACAAAATCATAAAAAGAAAGAGTGCCAGTAGACAGTATGAGTGTATAAAGTTTTTGTTGAGCTTCAAGTAAATGCTCAATGTCAGGCTGTCAAGCAGGCTCTGCATGTCGAGCCTTGAACGCATGATTGAATCTTGATTGTAGTTGTTGTCACATACATTGCTGCGACGAAGGCAAAGGATGCATTCTTCTTCTCTGGCGACAATGGTGTTGGTTTCACCTACAACTTGACAGAGCCCACTCTCATCCCGTGGTATCGTGAGATGGTAAGATTCCTGGATTCTCTTTGAACATCACCTTTGTGTTTTTACCATCTTCCCACGCCAAGGTGCAGAACCAGAAGTTGCGTGTCCTAATTTACAACGGAGATGCAGACCCGGGCCTGAACAGCCACTCGTCAATATCGTTGAAATTAACTTGGCATCATGCAATTGGTGTTTCATGGTTTCTTCAGGCAAATTGTTGTGAACGTACTGTTTGCTGAGGTTTCTATGCTCAAAATTGGACCACGGCAGTTGGAATACCTGAAGTCCAATCTTGGCGCCCATGGACCCGAGATGGTAAAATGAAAATGGGTGGTTATGTTGCTTGGAAAGCTCTAGTCTCAAGAGGATTGACTTGTGACTTTGTTTGTATGATAAGTCCATTACTGTTTAAGTTTGTATATCAGATTTCAATCACGAGCGTTTTAGATAAGTTTTGGAGCGACGCTTGAGGCTACACGTTACGAACATGATTTCGACTTCTTGACCATTCGTGGTGCAGGGCATATGGTGCCAGAATTTAAGCCTGAAGCAGCATTCGTGATGATGAGCTCCTTTTTATCTGGTCAAGACTATCCTCCATACAATCCGCCAAAAGATAAAGTGAGGCGGGCTAGTGCAGTTTTCAACTAAGACGGATTGTGTTCAGTGTGTTTTGCTTCATGGAACATGTTGCACCACTCTAACCAGCAGTTGCCCACACACCTGGCTGAAGGAGGCAACGCACAGGCTCGCTGAAGATTCCATGGGTAGTATGAGATCAAAGGCCAAAGATGATCAAAGATGTACATAGCATTTCACACATAGCAGCTTTCCTTCCGCTTCCTCTCACAGACAAGAGCTCTGTTGAATCGAAGGCAAGCGTTGAACACAGCAGCTCCTTAGATCTCTGATGATCTCTGTAAACACACCAATCATTAATTGTGCAACATCCGTCCTTGACACTGCAGGACTGCGGGAGTCCTGAGATGTTGATAGATGTTGTCATTGTTCAACCTATTCAAGAGGAAAGTGAAAGTGTGAAGTACTAGGAGTTCAACATTGGACTTTGAGAATTGCCAAGGACCTTAGCCCAAGCCTTGCGGAAGGCTACCGGAAAGTGGTGCAACACGTTGCCAACTCAGATTGTCTCGTGCAAGAGTAGCTACGTCCAAGACTGAAAGCTCAAAAAGCAGGTTCAAAGCCTTCCCAAATAAAAGCAGGTCAAACGACTAAAGTCGTAAGGAAAGAAAGGAAGAAAGGCTTGGAAAGTTTCCGATATCCTGCAAAGCGTTCGCAGAAGCTCCCCTTTGCCTAGTTGTATCAAACCCAGGACACAACTTGGCGAAGCGCTGAACCTTTTAGGCGAGCACGTGAAACGGATGAACCAGTCCTGTAATTAGTGCTGCGGTCAAGGAATAGTGACACGCATTATGAAATTGTGACAAAGCCAATCAAAGAATGTCAAATGAGCTTGACATCCTACTCTCCATTTGGCCGAAGGTTCTCATTCTGCCCCTGTTGTGTTCCAGGCGCATTGTTTGTTGAGGCTATATGTCAGGACATGTCAGTGGATGGCGCACTCAGCAGTTTTGCTGTTTCGTCCCTTCGCAGGGCTTCCTGAAGGTCGTGCACACTCGGCATGTTGTCTTGGCCTTGCCTCTCATTTCCTGCACTTTGCTTTGTTTCGGTAACTGCACTCTTGTGAAGAGTTGTAATTTGTGGGTTGCTGGCTCATGGATTTTGCTCTCGCCAGGAAAGCACTCGAAAATGTTGTCGAGGGCGACTGGGAAGACTGCCTGGCCTTTAGATGCGGAATTTGAACTCCTGACTGGGGAGACTGAAGACTGAAGACAACAGGAACACCTGGTCCATCCGCCTGCCTTTTCAAGCTTGTACTATTTGTAGCAGATTTACAAAAGTTGATAGTTTGTTTCAGGTTTAGTAATTCATTTGAGTTTAGCTGGGCAACGAGGTCTCGACGACATCTGCCAATGGGAAAACCGCAGGGATTCCAAGGGGATTTGCTTCCGGTGATTTGCTGATATTGGCTGATATTGGCGCATTCAGACTCTAATAGCATGGGCCAATGGGAGTGACAACCTCCGCATTTAGCCAATGTTTGGTCCAGATTGGTACAGTACCTGTGATGTGAAGTTCTGCGAGGCCTGGCGCTTGAGGAGGACGAAGGCCGCAAGGAAACTAGCACATATCTATTCTGTCAACACTAGAATTGCAACAGTTTGCAATAGTTGGGTCATTTCAAGTTTTAATTGTTATTGAGTAGAGACATCTCGATAGGGGTCTTGTGAATCAAGTGTGAATTAAAGTGAAGCAAGAAGATGTGGGATTCTGATTGTTGCCACTTTGTCAGGTGGCACGGAGGCGCTGGATTCCATCCCTTTCAGTTGGCAATTCTTCCGTTGGTGCCAGATTGACTCAGGTTTTGTGCAAGCTAAACAATGCAGTGACCTTGCGGGTGCAAGAAAGTTATATAGTTATTTTAGTTATCATGTTGGTTTCAGGAGCAGCCACAGACGCCGACCTCCTCGCCATCAATGAAGACGACACAGAGAATGTCAAACGCGGTGGCCAATGCTCTAGGTGCGCAGCGGTGCGCAAACGATCAACCTGCAGAGGAACGCTTGGTACCTTGAAGAGTGCGGCGGAACGGTTTTTCCAGCGCCATGCCTCGCTCTTTATGGCTTCAAAGCTGAAAATCATCAAAGCTTCAAAGCTTCTTCACAGGCGACATGTTGATATTTTCACATGATTCGGACCAAACGGTTGGGGTCTCCGGCAACTGTCCAAGTAGTCAGGATCCAACACCGTGAGTTGTTGACATTTTTTTGATCTCTACTATACTATATGTGTGTGTTACAGCTACAGCATATCTAGGTATGTGTACTCTTTAGACTCATTGGTGCAGGGTAAGGGGCGACCAAGCTACAAAACCGCTTGAGATAGTGATGGGGCAGAACTCCTTGCGGGCAATGCTCCCTGGCTTTTTCCCTGCTTCTCCTGCTCCCTGAAATTCATCAGACAAGTTGCATTCACATCCAAGACATCCAAGACTAGTCATTCTGATTCAAGCCACGAGAAGTTATCTACAGAATTGAACAGAAGACCTTCCAAGGCACTTGAGGCAAAGACCAGGTGGTGACAGGCGTCGGGGCGTCGGACTCTTCTGCATCTCGGCTGGTCCAAGATGCACAGATCTTGGTGCACGCAGCGCGGAGCAGTGCATGGTGAATGAGAGGAGGACCGTTATATACATGAGAACTCTTCATAGGAGAGCTGCATGTCAGAGCTATGCTTCAGCTGAGCATTTTTGCTCGAGCTTTGTCTGCTCAGGTTGGCTATATGTCTTTTCGGTGGTTCCGTTGGTCCTTTTTGTTCCAACGGCCGCTTGACTGCATCCTCTTGCAACGTATGTCTATCCTATTCAGCTTCCTTCAACTAGAAAAACGAATCAACACGAGCTGAGGCACCAGTATTGCGGGTAAAATCAATTACCCGCCATGCGGAAGGGGAGAGTGAGGCATCAGGCGCATCAGCTGCTGAGCTCAAGAAGCTCGAGGCGTGGAGGACGCTTGAGAGACTCAAACGAGGCATGGGTATTTGTTGTTGGTATTGTTAATTCAGGATGCATGGTAGGTTGAGCTTGGAGCTTGGCCTACCAGCGATGCAAAGTTTGGTTTTTAAAGGGTGAGGCCAACACATGCCAAAAGACCGCAGTATATATTTACAGCACCCCGACTGAGTTCAAGCGTTGTTTGTTTCTTCTTTTTTTGGATCGCTAAAAGTGATCCATGCATTTATAGAGACTTTCTTCATTCTGCTGCACAAGCCTCGGCAAAACCCTAGGGCGGATTCATCCCAAATCCCGCAGCAGGATGGTCTGGCCGGTTATGCGAGCGTCCCAGAATAATGCTTGCTAGCAAAGTTTATGTTGACTGCATAAGGGGTTTGCCGGATTGTAGCGAGACCCACAAATCATGCCCGCAAGCGATATGAGTCTCCTACACCACAGCTCCTTCGCCGACGATCGTTGCAAGCACAAGCATGGAGTTTAAGATTCAATTCACATCCCTTCAAATCTTTATGAAGCATCCAACGACACCGAACTATTCACAACGAGGGGCGACAAGTCTTCGCCACTCTAGTTATTATAGTTTCTTGCATACTCATGCGGAATGCCTGTCCTGTGTTGTCTACCTACTCAAAGGGTATCAAGGAGCTGAGGGCATTCATGCATGGTTTCGTGCCAATAACCTGTTGAATTGACAGTTGGATACAGTTGGTGTCACCAAACCTTATATATATATACACTACAATATTGATTATAATATTATTGAGAAATAGGGTCTCTGGCTTCTCGTGCCTACTGGCTGATTCCGCTGAAATAGTGCAGGCATCAGTATCCAACGTTGCTACATGAAACCTTGTAGACAAAGACGCATTTGTTTCTGTGCGCAGACTGGGCCAAATCTATCTCACAACCTTGCTTTTGAAACCCTGTATCACATGGGCTCCTTTGTTTTTCTTTGCAAAAACTGGGCCAACATATCCCAAACAGTACAGGCGTGTTGGAACATGTTTCAAGACCACGCGGAACACGCTCCCCCACCAGCAGCTGAGGTGGTGGACAGATACATATGATGGATGTGAATACACATATATATATATATAATCACATATACTATATATATATGATTATATATATAGTTATTGATGATATCATATTGTAACGAGTTCAAATCAGTTGAATGGACGTTTTTGCTTTGCCTCAGGCAGAACTGGAGCTAGCTAAAGCACGAGCAGCAGTAGTGGAAGCCAAAGCTGCTTTGGCTGCCGCTAAAGCTTCGCCTGAAAAGATTGCCTCTGGAGCAGAAGCTGCAGCGCCACAAGGTACATTGATACGTGCTGGACTGTTGCAGATATATCGATGCAAACGTGCACAATTTCTCACCATCTAGTTTTTGCTCATGTGTCTCTTGTGACACAATCACTTACTTTGCCTAGGTGCAGAAATTGATGTTGGATCAGCCCTGGAACCTGAAGTGGTTGGTGTCGTTGACTTCAGTTCCTACTCACAAGCTGAACTTCGACCAGCCAAACTCTTCTACGGCCCCGAGGGCTCAGCTATCTTCGAGGTGCTTGATAAGATGGAGGACGTGAAAGAGCTTGGAAGCACTTCCTTGGATACGGTCATCCGTTCTTGGTTTATGTCCCTCTATCAATTCTCGGCTGCAAGCCAAGCTGGAGAACCGCCTCCAGAGATGCCAGAGGACTTTCGGCGCAATGTCAAAGAAGTCGGATTCTTGGCTATTCATTTTTGCACCATTGTAGCTGTAGATGCTGTAGCATGCTCTAGCTTGATGTAGCTTGTACAACTTCAAGTGGACGGGGAATGTATGTTTGGTGATGTTCATTGCGGAACGCCATTTCTGATCCACCATATGTTTTATGTGTTTTTGCATTTGTACCGGATGAGACTGGCATGCATAGCAATGGTGCCACAGGTGGGGCTCTCAAACCTGATGATATTGCAACGTTTCTAATGGATCGAGACAAAGGGGGAGATTGGCGCCCATGTGTCCGGGCTCTGGCCGACACCGAGTTTGCCAAGATCATGCAAGATTCGTTGAGCTGGGATGTGATTTTCACTGATGATGTTGTGAGAACTGCAAACATCACTTTGGTCGAGGGCCGCACACGCATCATAAACTTCTTGGCAGGCCCATTCAAAGAAGCTGGATTTTGGTCCGATGCAGAAGCAGATGCTGCCGAAAGACTTATTCAGAAGGATCCACGTTTGCAGCGTGTGTTCTCCAGGATAAATTCTGTCAAGAACTCCATTGGTGAGAACATCCGGAGTGCATCCCTTGGTCCAATCTTGGCATTGGTCTTCTTCGTTGCGGCAATTTGTTTTTTCTGCAACGGCTTGAGCTTAAGCTCTCAGCAGGATTTGCCTCAGGATCTGCCTTTGATGGGTCTCGAGAAATGAGCAAGAGTTCTTGCAATGGCAAGACCTGCATTACCAGGCGGTGATTGCTCGTGCACATATGAAGTTGCATGTATGTTTTCGCATTGGACTCCACGTTGGTGTGGAGCATTTCAAAGGAAGACAGAGAGTAATTTTGCTGCGGACAAAAGTGAGCGCTGCTTCGCCTTGGCGCTACATAATTAAACTAGGCCTAGGACAACTCGAATTCAGGAGAATACTTGCTGAACTGTTCCCTTTAAAAACAAGAAAAACTAAATGCTGGAGTCACCTCCTTGGCAGGTGGGCGGATGTCTATGTTGCAGTTGCACTGATCCGCTGCCTTCAGTAGCTCAGTGCTGTTGCCACGGCCACACTACTCACTACTCGTTAAGACAAAGAAAATATAGAAAGTAACAAAACATAGCGTCACAAGACCAATAAGAATGCAGGAGAACGCTCATTTTTCCAATGTTTAAAATCGTTGTGATCTTAAACGTTGTAGACATTCTTAGCGCTCCTGCCCTCGCCCTGAACACTGTGTGTGTTTTCGAGCATGATGCTCGGAGTTTCACCCATGATTTCACCGCTTAGCGGCGAAAGAAGCGAAGCTGGGAAGTTGTGGTATATATGTGCGTTTGCTGGAATGCACCATATATTCCTTTGGCGTTCGGCGTTCTTTGATTTTTTTTAAAAGATATTGTACATTGTACACTTCCAGAGGCCTTTGCTGAAGTTTTGACACTTTGACCTGGTCAGCGTGTTGCGTTGCAGACTGCGTGGCTCCAGCTATCGCAGTGCATGCTACAGCTGGAGCTGTGTGGAGCCGCTCTTTGGCAAGTGTCCTCCAACTATCAATGTGTTATATGTTTCTAAACATTTAATCACGGAAGCCAGAGCAGTTGGTCAAGATCCAAAGCAACTCATATACAAGTCTCAGCTTTCGCTTTCGCCGAGGCCACTCCATACCGGATCCCACGGTATGGGAATCTTCAAAAGACTCTTTGGTGGATTTGGATCCAAGAAGAAGGTGGTCTGAGATAGGAAATGTTAGGGCACTTTGCTCGGACAGAATCATTGCAGGTTCGCATCGTTGTGGTTGGCCTTGACAATAGCGGCCTCGTCCTTGACAATTCGCCCAATAAGCCCAGCAGCATTTCTGATGCTTTGTTGGAGTGCAAGTTGCATCAATTAATTGGTTTTGGCTATGTCGTGATCAATTGAGTGATATGTGTATGTGTGCGCGTGCAGTTGCTAGGCAAAACTACGGTCCTCAATGCTCTGAAGCCAAAGAAAGCCTCTTTGGAAACTGTTGCTTGCTGCAAGTTGGTTGCGATAGTTTTGATTCGTTTTGCAGGATGTGTGTGTGTGTGTGTTTTTAAATATTTGTAGATATGTTTTTCTCATCCTTCAGGTTCCCACTGTTGGTTTCTCGACGGAGGAGCCACGCCCATCATGGCCTGCGAGTTGCGCTTTCACACTTCCTTTCCCTGTCTGTAGGAATTCCAGAAGCATGGAGTGAACTTCAGCGCCATCGATATGCCATGCTCTTAGAACTAAGTTAGTTACTGTAGCATCTGTAGCAGCTACTAGGAGCAAGGACGCTATTAGAAGCTCCTGGCCTTGCCACAAGGAGCAAGAAGCTACTAATAACAAAGGGCATCGCTACGAACGGAGCAAGGACGCTACTAGGAACAAGTGCATCGCTTCTAGTAACAAGTGCCTTACTAGTAGTAACAAGAAGCTACTAGGAGCAAAGGGCCTCGCTACTAGGAGCAAGGAAGCTAGCACTTGGCCTGGCCTCACAGGTCTGGACAAAGCCGATATCGGAATCTCTGGGAGCACTACTACGGCGGGAGCTGCAGTGCTGGTACACTGATGTAAAGCTTAAGTGGATTTAGTGGACCTTGTGTTCAGCTTTGATTGCCTCTAAAGAAGGGTGCGTTTACAAGTTTAGATTTAGATTGCAGCTTACCTTAGATTTGAAGCATCCCGTAAAGGCGAAGTGGAGGGCATCATCGTGGTCATTGACTCCACCGATAAGCTTCGGTTTGCGGTTGTCAAGGATCTCCAATAAGATGCATAGTATGTAACATTGTATGATGGTTGTGGGCTCTTGCCTTTTCAAAGGTCGTGGTATTGGCGTGGATGTGTCCTTTGTTTTCATTTTTCTTTGCCATCGTGCGGGCTGCCTAGTGGCGCAAGTGTATTGACATGCATCCCTGCACAAGGATGAGCTGGAGACAATGCTGGCCGACCCAAGAATAACAGAGAAAAAAATGCCAATCCTGTGACGCTCTGAGAATTAGGAGTGTGCTCTAGCTTTGCGTTCTGCCCGTTCAGTGGAGCTCTGAGTTCTCCGAGGTTTCTGAACAACAAAGTTGATCAGCCATTAGCCTCACCTCCACAAGAGACAATGCAGGCGAGCCAACTTCATTTCCCAAAACCTGTCTCCGTCAAGCCAGAATGGTACTACTTGGCTGCTACTACCTACCTCCCGCTCAGCACCCGTATCCCTCTTTAAGCATACCTCCGATTATTTGTTCTGCGCACCATCAGAACACAATTGCTCTGTTTGGGGGTTCCAGACTACAAACCCTCCCCGGCCTAGAATGCTTGCGGAGACCTGTGTCACCCTGCGCACTGGAACTTCTTCCCTCCAAAGCTGTTTAAAGGTTACACATTTAACAGCGGGACCGTCCAATGGAAGGCAAAATAGGACCAAACTCGAAGTCTAGAATCTACATCAAGTCTAGACCATTCTTAAGTTCATGTTAGTTCTTCTTTGTTTGGAACATATTGTTTGCATATTTTTGCATGGTATGGGTTTCGTCCTTGTCGAGGCGCTAGGCCTGGATCGGATCACTGATCGGCACAAGCCTCAGTCCATCCTGGATGTCCGGCTATTCAAACAAACTAAGCCATGAAGGTCTGGGAAGGTTGTTGCATGAGTTGTTGGTAGTTGTTTGGAGTATGCAGATCGTGTATATATACCTATATATATATATATTGTATTGGAATGTAATATACTATGAAGCCTGCTTTCTGTTAGAATGGTGTCGGGATTCCAACATCGAAAGCAGCGGGCAAAATATGTGAAAAGCGCAGTTGACTTGAGCAAATTGATTGACATTGAGTATGTTGACTGTTGCCTAAAACTAGAACGTCAAAACAGCAAGCTCTCCATGATGTTTGCATCGTTCATGATCAAGTCGCATCCACAACACACAAAGCAAGATCTGGAGGCCATGGCAAATGTTCTCTTGTGATGCGCTTAAGGGCGATGGTGTCGAGGAGGCAATTCAACACTCTCGTTGGTTCGCGCCAACAAGCAAACAACGTCGCGATATTTGGTCTTACTGTTCAGGCGATCAAATGGCTAGCAGACAACATGAACAAATGAAGCCTGGGCCTTAGCAACACATAGCCTCGGCCTGGAAGGCCTCAGGCCTTGGACTTGACACTTGACACTGTCTTTCTTTTTAGCCAGCTCCTACTCAATTAACTAGGCGCCGGCGCCTACTAAATTATATAAGGGAATATATAAGCTCAGACTAGTTAGCTTCCAGTAACTGGACGCAGAATGGCTCACACTTCTTCAAGGAAGCTCCCTCCGCCTGAGGGCGAGGGGAGCTTCCTTTTTTTTTGCTTTCCAGCCGTCACGAGAGGTCTCCGGCAACCACCACGCGTTCCGCATTGGTGGTCACACTTCACACACCAAAGCTACAGCAAAGAGTCGAAAGGAAGGCACCAGGAATGAGGTGTCAGGCTGGCACCTTTTTGGAAAGCTCGTGCAAGCGTATCGAGGGCGGCACACGGCATGAATGCTTCGGCTCCAACAAAAGTACCCTTGGGAAATGTCTTCCCATTGCTTTTATTACCTTTCTCCAGCAGCAGTGGTGCAACAATGATTTGCTTTTGTTTACAGGCTGCAAACCCAGCTCGAATGATGCTGGCAAAGGCCTGCGGCGTACATAATGTCCCGGATGGTAGCTGGAATCGCCAGCCGTCGACAAATGCACGTATGGCCAACTCAAAGACCGAACAGGCAAAAGTGTCACCAATCCGCCACTTGACTGTGGCACAAAATTTCAGAAAGATGCGAAAATTAGCATCAGAGAGTTTGTTGCTCTCACGAAACGGCATATCCAACTGAATTTGTGCTTGCCACAAATACTGTTCGGAGGGCACATCCCATGGCCATCTTGGAAACATCTGTCTGGCCGAATACTGAACTTCCAGCTCAGGGGAACCTGCACTTACGGTATTACGAAGTTCAGCAGGTTTCTTGCAGAACCGGTTGCACTGAGCCAACCACAACTGCCTGGCCAAAACATCTACTTCTTTACAAACAAGATCATTCTTGATGGCACGAGCAGTGTCCTGAATCTGCTGCTTAGCAAAGTGGTCTGCCAGCCGGTTGAGCACAATGTCTTGTTTGGATGATCCCGCCCTAGTTGCAGCTTCATCCGTGATCATAGGGCTAGGAATATGCTCTAACAAGTGTGCCGGACACCAGAGTAATTGCAGTGGCGAAGCATGGAGATTTCGACGCTGGTGCACGAGATTCAGCAAGAAACCCCACCAATTTGCGTGTGTCCATTCTAACTGCACCTTGTCCGCAAGTAAAAGCTCAGAAAATTGGCTAACAATGGCCAGAGAGTCGGTATGTATCACCAGCGGCGTAGTGGACATTGCAAAGGCAAACAACACCGCCCATAACTCAGCAGTATAGCTAGCCAACCTCCAATGTCGAACCCGATCCGCTGCAAGCAGGGTTCCATGTTGAGAGATCACTGCAAAGGATGCCAACGCAAGCCAGGGATGATTGTTCAGCTGAACCGACCCATCGGTCCATACATGCTCAACCGGACCAATTGGCTGCACCCACTGAGTCACTGGTAAGTCCGAGGTTTTGGAAGTCACCAACTTCTCACGAATGGTATCCATCGAAAGCTCTGCAATGCCAAGAAGTGCAAAATTCGGGCCAAAGTAGTATTGGGTCGAAGGACGAGCCAACTCAGGTGGGAGCTTTGGACATTCATCAGCGAAATGTGGCAAAGATTCTTTCGTAGTATCACAGAAGCGACACTGTGCACTGTCAACCAAACCAGCTGCAGCTAAGCGATCGGCAGTCAGCGTACAACCAGTGATGGCACTCTCCCAATGAAAGAGAAAGCTAAAGCCTTCATTGGGGATCCTTGCCAATTTTTTCTTGGCAGACAAAGTGAGCGTGAGGTCCAGAAAGCCTTTGGCCATACTGACATCTTTCCTTGGCATAAGACATGCCGTGTGATAGCATTTATTGGCCGCCAAGCTCTTGAGAATGCATTTCAAGCCTGGGACCGAGAACTCCAAAAAATTTACTGGCTCCGAGTCAAAGATGGAAAACTCAAAGGTGTGAACCCAGACGATGTCCAGAATCTGGCATGCTTGACCAAATTGCGTCATCCATGCTTGTGCAGTGAGTTGGTCCTGTGCATATAGCTGTTGCCACTGCTGGCGAGCCAACTGAGATTGCTGCAAGAAACGAGCAGACTCTAAAATAGTTGTCACAGCCCGGCACAGGAAAGGATCTAACCTATGGGCCTTGTGAACTATGCACAGCAGCAAATGCTTGGAACGCCATTTGGGGCGGTCCTGCCACAAGGCATCTGCGACCGCACTTTGCAGTCGAGCCAGCAACCTCTTCGGGATGAAGTTCAGCTGCGGTGCAAAGGCAATCTGAGGTAAAACTTTCGTGGCCAAAATTTGAGCCCGCTTGGAAGCATCACAAGGCAAAGCACGAATGGCCTCGCAGTCCCGCAAAGCTGCTTGCATTTTGGCAGCGGGAAAGTTACCCACATTCTTCTTTGTCGTTTGAACATGGGCTCCCAAAATGTTCACCACCTCGACAAGCTTCATTTGAGGGAATGCCATCTTCAGAGCTTTCCGCAACGGCCCGGTAGTAGCAAACAATTCGCATTTGCCCACATTTAGGAACTGGCCACAAAGTGAGTCCCAAAGTTCAGTGGCTCGAACGGCAGCAATCAGGCCATCAATGGAGGAATGCCTTGTCCACAGGTAAGTGTCATCAATGAATGCTCGGAAATCAACTCCATCAACACGACCAACCAACCAAGCCCAAATGGCCATATGAAGGTTGATGCACAGCAGGCTTAGTGAGCATCCCTGCACAACGCCATTCGGAGTGGATATAGGCAGGGCTTGAGTCCATTGTTTAAATGACAGGAAGCGAGTCATTCGGGTATAGAGCCCCAGGAAGGCTCTCACAAACCCTAGCGGCAGCCCCAAGGTGAGCATAATGGCCCCGCAGAGTTTGGGCATCAACCGGTCGAAGCACTTCGATTTGTCCAGCTTTACTGCAGCAAAAGAGCCTTGAAAGCTATGTGCATGATCAATCTCCATCTGGATAGTAAGATGCACTTCTGACATTTGGCGATGTTTGATTCCGCCCTTCAATTGCTGAGGCATCACTTGCATTTGCCATTGCTGCAGCTGTAAAAATCTCAAGCCAGTGTAGAGCAGCGTGAAAATAGACTGCAAGGAGATCAGTCGTTTAGATAGCGGCGCGTCGCTGCCATCTTTGTTCAAAATGATCATCCGAACTTGGGTCAAGATCTCTGGGAAATCAGCATGTCCAGCTTCAATGTCATTAAAAACCCGAGCAACAGGACGAAAGGCCGCCGGTGGCAGGGCCTGAACTTCCCGGGTGTTCCAACCATCGAGCCCGGCAGCTGCATCAGGCTTGCGTCGCCCTGCTTGTTCCCACAGCTGCAACTCTGTGATTGGCGGCAATATCACAGGATGCCCTTTGTCATGTATGTAAGGCCAAACTTGCTTCAAAATCTGCATCTCATGAGAGTGTTGAGCATTGACAGAAAAAACCGAGTCCCACTTGTCCGCGATGATGTCCATGGCCGCATTGGGATCATAGACAATGTTGCCTGCATCATCCTCCACCAGATTTTGTGGAACAACACGGCCTTTCTTCTTGAGGTATTGGTAAACGATTTTGCCAATGGCCAGAGACGTGGTGGCATTCTTCATTGCTTCTTTCCATCGACGAATCGCAGCCATCTTCATCTGTTTGATCTCAGTTGCAATAGCATGCAGCGTAAGCTCAATCAAGTGTGGCACATCCTGAGGGAAGACCTGAGACATGGAAGAAGGAATGATCCCTGCTTCTTTCAACCGCCTCAAAAGCCGTCTCATCGTCTGGAACAATGTACGTGCATCGACTTCACCGGTACAATCGCGACCCAATCGGAAGGAAATTTCACGAAGGGATCGCAAACAGGCTCGAAGCAATAGCAAATGAGGTGATGCAGCATTTCCTGCTGTTTCCTGGATGGTGGTCATGCTCGATTTGCGAAAGTGAGGCAGCTTCCCTCTGATCCGAGGTCCTTTTTCCCATCGGGCCCCATTGTTCAGCAGGGCAGTTGTCGCAAAATCATTGAAGATGTCCCACTTCTGATTGGGGTGATGTGCTGCCTGAAACTGGGGCTCATACTCAAGCCATAGCTGTTCACAAGCCAAGTTGACAGCGCAAGCAGGATCCGACTTATCAGATTTGGCCACATCGGCTAAGTCAAACTTCGCAAAACGCTGTAAAATCGTGCCTGTCTGCAGGATTCGGTCCCAAGCAAAAGTTGCTTGAACAGGTCTATGTTGACGGTCACGGAATTCGAGGATCTCAATTCTCACCAAGGCAGTGAGCGCAATTCGATTGACCAGTATCCCATCGATTGACGATTGGCCTTCGCCATCAGCAGAAGCAGCGTGTTGAAAGAAGGTATCCGGACGGAAAATCTCACCGTGTTCACCGGTCTGAAGAAGCGGGTCAGCCCATCCCCAACGATCAAGGGCCAATTGTACGCTGGGGTACATCCCTGGCTCCATTTGAAAATCGCCAGCCAACACTATGGGGATATCGCCGAATTGAGCAGCCATTTGAAAAATCTGACCGAGCATTTCATTGTTGCGTTCAAACTTGAATCGTTCTGAAGCAGCATTGGCAATGGCGTAGAAGTTGAATACCAACACCTTCACACTGGGAGACACTTGATGCCATGTAGCTGTGACTCTGGCCGTTGGCCTGAGCAGCGACCAGGCCCCGGATAAGTCAGCTTGGTCGTCAAAGAGTTGAGTAAGCTCACGGTTAGCACATGTGGCAGTCCCTCCAGAGGGTATTCTGAAAGTACCGTTTGAAGCCCGCTGCTTCTGCAAAGGCTGAGAGCAGAAAAGCCCAAGGTTGCACAAAGCTGCTTTACGCTTGGATTCCATCATGTTCGAGTCAGCAATTCGGGCCTCTTGGAGCAGGAAAACATCAGCATCCCAACTGAGACAGCTAACATTTGTAGCAAATGAATCAATATTGGCGGAGATGATGGACCAACGAGGT